CTGAATACCAAACTGAGCAGTTTTGTTTTTTGTGTTCTATTTTTGTTTTGAATCATTTCAGCACACTATTATCCAGCATTGCATTATGATAGACACCGTCTTTGCTAAATTATCAATCCACATTATTCTACTCTACGTAACATTGGGTAATGCAAAATGACGTCCACAAAGTCAAACCTTCTACAGATAAACGAGAATCAAGTGACACATTGTAACTTTACAGCTCTTTATCTTAAGTTTCGGACTCTGCTCTTCCAGAAAATCAATTTATTTTTCGTAACGAATGTGATGAGACATTATATATAAAACTAAAAGTGTTTGTTACACCTCTAGCCATCGAGCTTAGAGGAAAGTTAACTTTCAGTCTTCAAGAGTGCTCCAAGCTTCTATTGATTCATCAAGAGCCAGCAATCTCGGATAATCAGGTAGATTTATGAAAACTTCTGTAGCTCCGAATTTCGAACCGAAGTGGCCACCCCACCAGCGGCGGTCTTTGCCGCGGCTAAGGACACCTATCATTCTCATACCGGCCGGATAATCTTCGAACACATATTCAACAAGCACCCATGATTTTCCTCCTCAAAAACAATCAATCAGTCATAACTATACAGTAAATGTTTTATACATATACTATTACGAAGTCATTGCGAAAGTTTTTCCCGTAATTTAACCTATCATAAAAACACGTGCAGCAAAGACAGGCAAACGTTTCGAACAGTCTTCGATGTAGTTTATCCTCTTTCAAGCAGTTATGTCCTTGTGCTGGCTACTCTTGTGGTCATCGAAATAATTGGCAAAATTTTGAACACTAGTTTTACTATGCGTTCAAAATTTGTCGAACTTTATCTTTGATTTTGGTCATTTTTGAAGTTTTTCTTTTAAACTTTTGGAAGACCTTTTTATTAGCAATCGGATAGCGTTAACAAAGTGCAATGAAAGCATTTTTTGGCATCTTCAACTGGCTTCATTATTTTTTGAAATAACTTTTAATAAAGTCTTCAATTTACATTAAATATAAATACACAAACGCTCCAAACACTAACAGATCTTCAGTA